ATATAATTGAGGTATGGTCAGCAGAGAAGAATGTGGGAGCCCAACCGTGAGGCTCAGTTGGTTGAGCGTCATCCCATGCTCCAAGATGTCACTGGTGAGATTCCCAGTCCGGGCACATGCCGGGATTACTGGCTTGATCCCAAGTAGGGGACGTGCAGGAGACAGCCGATAGATAATGTTTCTCTCTCTCCTTCTCCCTTCCCCTCTCTCTCAAATCAATAAAAACATATTTTAGAAATATATACTTGGGTGAGGATTAAAAAAAAATGTTTAAAGAAAAAAATGAAGAAATGGATATTGGGTAGGAATCCAGCAATGAATGTTACAGTGGTGTAGTAGAGGAAGGACTAGAAGTCAGATCAAGATGTATTGAAGTCGTACCTCTACCACTTACTACCTGACCTTCGAGGTCTCATAATTGCTCTGAATATCAATTTATTCTTATGAAAACTAGATCTAATGACCATAATAGAGTTGTGTGTAAGTCATAAGTCAACTGGCTTCCCCTCTATGTATACACACACACACACACACACACACACACACATATACATATATATATAACAATGCCATTTAATAGAATGCATGGTTTCTAATAACAACCCCACAAATATTAACTAAACGTGTTACTCTCATATTTTCTGTGCCACAGATTCTAAAGCTATACCAAGGGTGAAAATTCCTTGTATATCAGACAGAGAAGAGCTCCATGGTAAACAGGGACAATGGAAAACAGAAAGGCCAAATTCACTAACCTCTTCCAGCACAGACTCCTCAGAATGTCATGTTACAATATATGACCAGTAACTGTTCAAGTTGCCTTCAGCCATAAACTTAAACCACACCCTACAACTTTATAGACTAATCCATCAACAGGTCAAGGATTCTCACAGGGGAGGAACAGGAGCTGGGAGTCTGTGAGAACCTGGGGCTGGAAGAAGTTGCAGCATCTATGCGTTGAGTCATGGGTAGAAGAGTTGTGACCATACTCACTCTGAGTGTAGTGCTTTCTCACTGTGCCCAAGATGCCTCCCATCGATTTTCTGTTGTTTATACACCCTCAGCTCAGGATTCTGCTGATGGACAGGAGCCTTACAACACTCTAAGTTAAGTGATCAGCCTAATAGGTGGAATGTATGTTAATAATTATGGGAATATGGAGAACTGCCCTTTCCCAAAGGACCAGATAAGTCTGTCAAATTTTAGTTCAGCCAAGAGTCTGTCCAATTTTAGTGACTAGCCACAAGGTTCAGGAGAGTGGGTTTGGAGAGGAAGCTCTAGTGGAAGTTGTTGGCCTGAACAGAAATGCTGTAAGATGGTGCACAGCTGACAAATTCTCATTGTTGAAATGTTTCAGGTGTGGGCAGGATGGAAACTGGCTACACTGCTCCTGAGATCTTCTTCTTGGTGACCCTTGGGATCATCAGTGTCCTCGGCATCATGGGAAATGGGCTTGTGATCTGGGTGGCTGGATTCCGGATGGCACTCACAGTCACCACCTTGTGCTACCTGAACCTGGCCTTAGCCGACTTCTTCTTCAGCGCCACTCTGCCATTCTTCATGGTTGTACTGTCTATGCAGGCAAAATGGCCTTATGGCCCGTTCCTGTGCAAGTTACTTAACATTATGGCAGATACAAACCTTTTTGCAAGTGTCTTCCTCATTGCTTTCATTGCTCTGGACCGCTGTATCTGTGTCCTGCATCCGGTCTGGGCCCAGAACCACCGCACTCTAAGTCTGGCTAAAAAAGTGATCATTGTACCCTGGATTCTTGCTCTACTCCTTAACTTGCCAGTTCTCATCTTCTTTACTACAGAAACAGATGAGAACGGGGACACACACTGTCATTTCAACACTAACTTCTGGGGTAACATCACTGAAGAAGAGAAGTTGCAGAGGACCGTTACCTCAGTAGCAATCATAGGGATCAACCGGTTTGTCATTGGCTTCACTCTACCGATGTCCATCATCGCCATCTGCTATGGGCTCATTGCAGCCAAACTCCGAAACAAGAGCATGATTAAGTCCCGCCATCCTTTACGGGTCCTCACTGCTGTCGCAGCTTCCTTTTTCATTTGCTGGTTCCCCTCCTGGTATATTTAACAAGCACCCTGGCCTTTTTCAACAGCTGCCTCAACCCAATGCTCTACGTCTTCCTGGGGAGAGACTTCCGAAAGAAACTGATCCACTCCCTGCCTGCCAGTCTGGAGAGGGCCCTGACTGAGGACTCAGCCCCAACCAATGACACAACCACCAAATCGGCTTCACCTCCTACAGAGGCCCAATTACAGGAGATGTGAGGGGCCTGGGATCATTTATGAGCTTTGCCTGCTCCTGTCCTGTTCCCTCTTCCAGCTTCATCTTACCTTAGGTCATACTGAGCGTTCGGTAAAATTTCCCTGGCCAGGAGACTGTAGAAAGAGACTGAGAGCCCCATTATTACACTCAGAGTTTCTTAAGGGAACATACACACAAGGCTCAGCTTGGGAGGTAACAAGATGACACGGATGTCCTCCCTGCCACAGGGCAGGTGATAAGGAGTTTATAGGACAGGGAAGATGGATGGAGGTACTGGAGAATGACCCACCTCAGATAAGAAGAAAATGCCCATATACTTGCACAAAACACAGTGAGGGGCCAGCCGAGGAACAAGCATGCCAGGGATTTTGGGAGGGGGTGGACTGTCTTTGAGGAACGTTTTGGAAAGCGATCTCTGCTCTGGCAGGAATCTAGCGGATCTAGCCAGACCGTCTGGCAGCGATCACATCAGTGAATAGCGTCTTCTCCACAATGAAACACTCACCATGAAAAATACTTTGGTGACTCCTGATTTGGGGGGGAAGATATGGACATCAGGGTATATTGCTTTTATTTTTGGTTATACCCTGGTGGTCATGGGAAAGAATACAGGGATAGTAAGAGGAAGATGGATGGGGAATCTGTAAAGTTTAGATGAAAGAGTATATTAAGGGAAAAACTTTAGCATTTCATCATGAAGACGTTTCCTGTAGATTTGTTTTACTGTTTTTTAATCTGAAAACAAGTTTCTTAATCCTGCTTTACTAATGGTTTGCTTCTTTTTTAAATCATGAATAAGTGCTGGACTGTATCAAATGCATATTCAGCAGTTATTAAGATGATCATATTATTTTTAACATTTTACTTACAACATCATAAAGTATATTTCTTTTTGAATGTTAAACTACCTTTGTATGCCCTAACCGGTTTGGCTTGGTGGGTAGAGTGTCGGCCTGTGGACTGAAAGGTCCCAGGTTCGATTCCGGCCAAGGGCATGTACCTTGGTTACGGGCACATCCCCAGTAGGTGTGCAGGAGGCAGCTGATTGATATTCCTCTCTCATTGATGTTTCTAACTCTCTATCCCTCTCCCTTCCACTCTGTGAAAAATCAATAAAATATATTTTTAAAAAAAGAAAGAAAAAAGAAATCAGTAGTGCCTGTTCTGACCATGTGGAGATGTTTGGTGCATGTATCAAGTCAAGATTTAGTTAAACCTTTCATATGTTGACTTGTTTTTTTCATGAGACTAATGTTTTTTATCAGAGGTTAGTATATAAAAAGTCAAGGTTAATTTGATGTTTTACCTGAACTTGCACAGAGTTGACTATAGGTAGATATATGGCATTTCTTTAATGGCCTAAGAGAGTAATTTAGTTTGATAATTCATATGGTCTCAGAAAGACTGAAAGTACAGAATTGTCTCTACCACCTTTTTGAATAAATTTATGTTCCAGTCCAA